TTATTTTTTTTGTTATAATATTGGTGTTAATGTTCACTTTATTTTAATTTAAGAGGTCATGTATATTTAAGTTATATTTATTTTGATTTATGAATGTTCCATTCAAAATTGTTATTAAAAAGGCATGTACACCATAAAAGATGACTATTGAGGTCTATTGTAAGGAATGTTAGTGTTATATCAAATAGTGAATTCTACTGCAGCAGAATGTTGCAGTAGAATTTGCAGTCTGCACAGTGTTATATTTTCACCTCTCAGTGTCAGTAAATATTGTGTGGTTAGTATTGGACTACAAGATAGATGCAACATATGTAAATACTTTAATGTTCAACTTCAGCACTTCACATGTCAAAATCTAAGCAATGTACTTACCTACCTAGGTAGAGTTATTTAAAGCATAAATGAGTCGGTTGGGTTCTGGAGGTGTGGTTACAGCATTGTGCTTGGTTGGCGCGGCCTGTGCCTGGTGGTGGGGCCCAATGTGATATATTTTCATGGGGCACAAAATCCCTGGCGGCGCCGCTGAGATTGGGCCGGATTCTCTAAAGTACCGCAGTCTCTTCTCCTAAGTCCTTTTGAATTCTCCTAACCACTATCCCTTAACCCCATGACGTTTCACTCAGAGGTCAAGGAATAGACGATAGGGTTAGAACTTAGGAGCTGATTTTTTGACTATTCGACTGCAGCCTCGGTTAACTTTCAATAGTGAACCTGTATACTTATAATACCTACAAGAATGACATACATTTCCTATTCGCAGGTGTAGCCTTCACAATAAAAGCACAAACAATGCCTCTTTAGCATAGACTGCATAAAGCCCTTTAAATTAATGTATCTTGATTTTGCTTTTCTCATTTCTCAACCGTGAACCAACAAGGGAAAGGTTCAGTGCTCTTATGTTGTACTTTCTTCACTTGTTGGAGGTCACGTGTGCATTGGTGTCATTTGGGGACACTCAGGGACAAAACAAGTATTATGAGGTGCTCTAAAAGCCATGCGTCTGCAGTGTATATTTTGTCACCTTTAAAGTCTTAAGTTTAGATTTAGAGCCTAAATTATGTTGTTTTTTAAAACTCTCTCTCTAACACAGTAGGCTATATTAGAAGACGGAAGAAGAAATGGAACAGTATCTTTTACTTTGAAAAACTCACGGCACGAGTTGATCTTATTGTATTAGTTTGTTTGAGGCTAATCGGGCAGATGTCGGGGGAGGCAGTGAGGTGAAAGAAGATTGCAACACAGCAGAGAGTTGACGGGGGGGAGGAATGAAGCAGAAACACAGCAGCGGAAACTCTCCTGTCACTCAGTTCAACGGAAGTGGAGCTCGAGTAAAGTCGGTCCGCAACAGGTGTTTTGAGTGACTCCTCAGCTCAGAAGTTTTAGGATAGTAAAACAAAAGTTTTAATTTGGTAGAAAAGTACCAACATGTCAAAGCTCCGCCCCAGACAGTGTGTGCTGGAGAAAGGGTCCAGTGGCTACGGGTTTCACCTGCACGGAGAGAAGGGCAAGACCGGACAGTTTATCCGGCTCGTGGAGCCAGACACTCCCGCCTCCGCAGCCGGGCTTCTCGCGGGCGACCTTCTGGCCTTCGTGAACGGAGAGAGCGTGGAGGGCGAGAGCCACCAGCAGGTTGTCGCGAGGATCCGGGCCACCGCCGAGGCTCTGGAGCTTATCGTGGTGGACTCCGAAACGGCCGAGCTGTTGAAGAAACAAAACCTCCAGTGCCGGAAAGAGTTCGTCACGGAGGGGATTCCCCTGCCTGGCGGGGACAGCGACTCTGAGCACGGGGACACACAGAGCAACGACACCCCGAGGGAATGCACCCCTGTCCCGCCGGAGAATGGGGATGCTGGCTCGGAGAGGTCGGAGAGGCTGAGTGTCAGCTCCAGCACTAAGGTACCTTACTTAGTCTGGACTAAACTTATTATGTACATAATTCATAATTATATTGTGTATATTACATTATGGAACAGCAACGGGAGACACAAGCCTTGTCTCTGCTTTAGGCTCTGATGAGTCACACTAACAAGGTTGACCCTTCGGTCAGAAGGTCAGCCCTTAACCTCCCGACCTGTGAATAAGCGATCCTTGTGACTACATCTTCTATCATGTCATTTTATATAAGGACACTATAATAATGAAGTCAAAAAAAGAAGTTAGAAACTTGACCATGAAAATGTATTCTTGGCCTTTTGAATCAGTGTGTGTTACAAAACATTCTTGACTGTTTTTAAAAGTCTATTCATTTTTATCAACTGTAAGTTTCGTTGCAAACTATCCAGGCTAAGTTTTTCATTCATTGCATAACTAGACAGTAGTTGTGCATATGACATGACAGGGGTGCTGCATATTTTGCATTCTTTTAATAATCTTAAAGGGGACCTATCATGCAAAATGCACTTTTTGATGTATTTTACACATAAATATGTGTCCCCGGTGTGTCAGGGAACTCACATGGCGTCAGAAAATAAAATCCTCTCTCTTTTCCTCCAAACCCAAATCTAAAAAAACGGAGGTACAACGGAGCTGATCCAGATTTGCGTCCGATATGACGTAATATCGGCAATGCAGACCCACGACACTATCAGAAATTTGCTATAATAAACAATGCCCGACTGTTTTGGACGTAATATATGAAACATGATGGCATTTAAAGGTGTGGTAGGTAAGTTTGAGAAACCGGCTCGAGACTTTTTGTTATATTCCATGGAATGCTCTTAACATCCCGATAGCAATGAATATCTTAAGTGCTTTGACAAAAAATCCATAAAACAATGTCAATACTGTAAAAAGCACGACCAATCATCTGAGCCGGCCCCGCTAAAATAACTGGATTGCCTACCTGCCTGTCAGCCTTCCATCTGTGCACAAACTTATCTTGTGCCCTCATTGGTCATGTGCACGTTTGTGTGTGTTGGGGGAGGGGCTCTGTAAGGAAGTGGCAGATTTGTTCCGGCTGTGTATTTTAAAATTATAGCGCACTCGAGCTGGTTTCTCCAAAATTACCTACCCCACCTTTAACTCGGGGAAAAGTAAGGGAGGTGTGTGTCATGATAAACAATAACTGGTGTACAGATGTGAGGATTATTTCTTCTGACTGTTCCCCCCATTTAGAGCACCTCATGATCACATGCCGGGATTTTCACCTCCCGAGAGAATTTACATCTGTTGTGATTACAGCAGTGTATATTCCGCCGCTCGCCAACAACAACACAGCACTCGATCAGGTGTTTGGGATTATCAACAAGGCCAAAACTTCACGGCCAGAGGCGGCGTTCGTTTTTGCCGGGGATTTTAACACCGCTAACATGAAGAAGGTCCTGCCGAAGTACTACCAACACATCAGCTGCCCCACGCGCGGGGGAAAAATACTGGGAAACATACTGGACCATGTTTATGTTTCATCCATAGTCTCTAAATAACTTATTTCACGTATATATGATATTTAGGCTCTCTGGTCTCATCATACAACTGCAATGAAAAAAGCACCAGGAGAGGCAGCCATAACCTCTGCCGCACAGAAGGGGGCGCACATGAGCCCACAGGTTCTTGTTGCTACTGTTATTCTACGCAGAGACGGTAGACGCGAACAACAAACTAGACTTTTTCAAACTACAG